ACAGAGCCTCAAGCTGTCCCCCTGGGTAGAGTGCCGTGGCATTACAGCTCACAGCAACCTCCAACTCCCGGGCTCAAGCGAGTCTCCTGCCTCCGTTTCCTAGGTAGCTGGGACCACAGGCGCCCGCCACAACACCCGGCTATTTTTTTGGTTGCAGCCGTCATTATTGTTTGGCAGGTCCGGGCTGGGGATTCGAACTCGCCACCTTAGGTGTACGTGGCTGGCGCCTTAGCCGGTTGAGCTATAGGCTCCGAGCCTGTCTCAGAAAATTAAAAAAAAAAGAATTTTAAAGTTCTGTGAATCCTGATTTATTTCTCTAAAATGTTATTTGGACTCTGATGCATTTTTCTAAATGAGTTTAACATTTTAGCAGCCCAGGACTGGGCTTGAACCTGTCAGCCTCTGTGTATGTGATGTCACTGAGCTATGGGAGCCATTTAACATTTTAAAGTAGAACACATTTTAGGCAGTATCAGGTTTGCCAGATATTTTTAAAATGCTTCTGACAAATGATATATAAACAAAGATTTAAATTTAATGATAGAATGTTATACCATGTTGAGGCTCGCCTGGCCATTTTTTGGTTGCAGCCATCATTGTTGTTTTGGCAGGCCCGGGCTAGATTCAAACCTGCCACCTTAAGTGTATGTGCCTGGTGCCTTAGCCACTTGAGCCACAGGCATGGAGCCTATCTTCATCTTATAGCTCCCTCATAAGGTTATTGTGAAGACTAAAAGAATGTAAGATATAAAGAACAGAGGTTGGCCTATAATAGGTATTTACTGAATGTTAGAAGCTAGTGTAAACATTATAAAATAGTGGAATAAAACACCCATAGAATGGCTAGCTAAAGATACTGTTAATAGGTTGTTGTATTTCCATCCTGGGTCTGCTAAACAACAATGACAACTGTAACCAAAAAACTGAGTGTTGTGGTGGGTGCCTGCAGTCCAGTTACTTGGGAGGCTGAGGCAAGAGAATCGCTTAAGCCCAAGAGTTCGAAGTTGCTGTGAGCTGTGACACCACGGCTATGTTGAGGGTGATATAGACTCTGTCTCAGAAAATTTTTTTTTTGAGACAGAGCCTCAAGCTGTCCCCCTGGGTAGAGTGCCGTGGCATTACAGCTCACAGCAACCTCCAACTCCCGGGCTCAAG